CCCACACACACACAGCAGCATGGCAGCTTTGAGGTCATCTTCTCAAATTTGATTCACCCGGAGGTAGTTCTCTACCCAGGCCACGTACGAGCTCCAGCGTTCTGGGTGAGCTGTGTCAAATTCTGAAAGCCGGCCTATCTTTGCCATCGTTTCAGCCCAGGAACTTCGTCCACACCTCCTGCAGCAAAGATTGAGAAGGGGCCCCCTTTTCTGAGCTCACCTGAGTCTCCAGGAGCCACACTTCTCCGAGCTGCAAGCCCCCCTGTGGTGAGTCAGCTTGGCTTCTTAATCTGTTTGCCTTGCAGGCATCCCATCCTCGTCGCCAATGTTCTGTTTCAGGAAAAAGGTATTGAGACGAAGTAACGAGTTCCAACAGTTCTCCTTTATTGCAACACCAACAGAACAGGTTTTAAAATGGTGCGGCCCCCTTTTATAGCCCCCCTGCACAATACATTGCTGGCCAATCATTGCAAAGGCTGGGAGCAGCCTTTCTTGTCCCGGGCATCCACATGGTCTGCCCGGGCCAATCGCTGCAGCCTGTGCCTGCTGGCCCAGGACATAACATGGAACATAGAATTATAGGACTGGAAGGGACCTTGGAGGTCTTCTAGTCCAACCAGCTGCAAAGGACTTTATACCATCCTGGTCAAATAGTTGTCCAGTCTGTTTCTGAAAAACTCCAGCAATGGAGCATCCACAATTCTGGGAAGTAAGCTATTCCACTGGTCACCTGTTCTCATGATCAGGAAATTCCTCCCTAGTTCCAGTTGGATCTCTCTTTAATGAGCTTCCACCTCTTACTTCTTGTCCTTCCCTCAGGTGCTTTGGAGAATAGTTTGACCCCCTTCTTCTCTGTGACAGCCTTTCAAGTACTGATAGTCTGCTATCATGTCTCCTTTCTTTTCGATAGGCTAGGCATACCCAATTTCCTCAACCGTGCATCATATGATTTAGCCTTCAGACCCCTTATCATCTTTGTTGCTCTTCTCTGCCCCCCCTTTTTTTAGCGTCTCAGAATCTTTTTTGTATCGTGGTGACCAGAACTATATGCAGCATTCCAAGCATGGCCTCACCAGTACAGTATAGATTCAAGATATCTGACTCAGGACTAGCTAGCAAAGCTAACTAAGGAATTCTGGGGATTGAGTCCAATGTTGCCAAGACTGAGAAACACTGCTTTAGCCAGCTGTAACTGTAAGAGAACTTTGGCTCTAAGTGTCAGAGTTGACCTGGGCAGGGCTTTTTTTCTCATAGAATGCTCAGAACAGAGTTCCGGCACCTTTTTTGGATGGAACCTTGTAGGGTAGGTAAGGCGGGTTGCATAATGTGTGTGAGTTCTGGCACCTTTTTTTTTTTTTTTTTTTTTAGAAAAAAAGCATTTGACCTGGGTGACAATCCCCAGCCCAGAGACCTCATATGCCTCCTGTGGATGCCCTTTGAGGTGCTGGGAAAAGCTGTTCAGTAGGCTTAATGGATGAAGTGTGCTTCTTAAAATTTGTATTAAAAACATCAGATCATAGCCAACTGTCCTAAATGTCAGGCCAAATGGGGAAAGAGTTAGAGTGAGATATGGTGCTCACATGCCAGATGTGTCCATTAGCTCAAAAAAGCTGTATGACTCTTTATAGACCTCTGAGCAGGTTTAGACTTTGTGTAAAAAAATAAAAATGAAATCAAGGGAGGTGGGAGTGTCCCTGGTACCAAGAAAGGTCTCTAGAGACTGAGAACTTTGGTGCTTCTGGATGCCAGAATCCCTATTCAGGTTGTTACTCAAACTTCTGTGCTGATAAAAGAATCCATGAAGACATTGTCTGCCCTGGAAAATAATTTTTTGAATGGTATAATATAGCCCTTATATAGAGTCATAGAATCATAGGGCTGGAAGGGGCCTTGGACTCCAACACTGCCCAAAGCAGGAGTCCTTATCCTTTTCTTTAATAAACTAGACATACCTAGCTCCCATTCAATGTACAATTTAGCCTCTGGATCCCTTATCATCTTTGTTGCTCTTCTCTGCACTCTTTCTAGGCTCTCAGTGTCTTTTTTGTATTGTGGTGAGCAGTACTGGACACAGTATTCCAAGTGTGATCTTAACAAAGCAGTATAAAGCAGTGCTAACGTTTCACATGATTTTGATTCTATTATCCCTCTTGATGTAGCCCAGGACTAGATTGGCTTTTTTGGCAGCTGCAGCACAAGGCTGGATGAATTGCTGAATTACCTGCTTCTTAGCCTTGCTGATTAAGGGTTCTGCTTTAAGGGATATGAATTGAGAAAAATGAGCCAGGATTTTGACAAATAAAATCATATTTCTTTTATTTAAATATTTACAACAATAGCTTAGAAATGTCATGAACGAAAGATGGCCTCTTTAAAGAGTTAATGTGCAAGAGGCTGTGGATGGTTTATAACTGGTCTTCCAATCACAACAGCTGACCAACTTGGGAAGGAGAGAAATGAATAAAAACAGATTTATAAGAATTATTTGTTTTTCTTCCAATGTCAAATAAAGAGGAGAAATGGAATGGGTTTTAATCAGCTTTTAAGAAAACAGAAGTTCTTCATATAAACCAAATTGCTACCTTCAAGGTTATTCAGCAGGGGTTAAAAAGAAAATCAAGATGGCGGTTGCGCCTGAATGATCAAAGCCTTTTTTTTACACGTGTTGCATGTGTGACACACATAAAAAAGGAGTGAGGTTTGACTGTGTGATCGCAGCAGCCATCTCAACTTCTTTTGGGCACCTCATCCTGTGGAACATCTCCCTCCCCAACCTGGCTTGCAAATGAAAGATGTTTAAGATTAGTCCACAACTATTAGGGGCAAATAAAACTGCCTTTAAATTTTTTTTAAAATGAGGGTTTTTCCACAATCCAACTACTTTTGCTACATAATCTTTATTTGTGTGTGTATGTGTGTGTGTATGTTTTGTGTGAATATCAACTCTATTGACTGCCTTGCATTTCTCTCAGCAACAGGACAGAAGCAGTTTGCTCCTGCTAGATATATATATACACATACATACCCCCCCAAATCGTAAATAATTCCCAGAATATCTTAATCCACAACCTTTCTCTGTTTCTGCAATCTCTACTTCCACCCTCTCCTTCTACTAACTTCAATGCTCTTTCTTTCTTTCTTTCTTTCTTTCTTTCTTTCTTTCTTTCTTTCTTTCTTTCTTTCTTTCTTTCTTTCTTTCTTTCTTTCTTTCTTTCTTTCTTCCCACACTCTTTTCCACTAGCCAGAGATGTCTTTTCCTTTCCACAGATCACGGTCACCTCTCTGTAAATAGGCCCTGCAAAGGTCCTGCCCTCCATCCCCCGAATTCCTGCCTTTGGAGTTCTAGGTCCCAATATCTCTGGAGGGATGGACTGCCTGCAAATTAAGCTAACAGTAACCTGGAAACAGTAATGGGTGGAAAGTGAACTCTAAGGTGCAGGACATCATCAGCCCTTCGGCTGAGGAGCAACACAAATGCTCAGGCAATCTCTGCTGAATAGCTGAGGGCACCAAGGCATGCTGGTGGAGGAAGAAAAGCACGGGGCTCACGGGAGGGGACTCCTTCTGACACCAAGAGTATTGTGAGAAACATGCTTCCTGTTTAATGAAGAACTACATTTCTTTGGAAATAGTGCAGGAGAAGGGCAACAGAAGCCAATGAATGGTGTTTAAAAGGACTCATGAACTTCTGCTAACCTGGCATCTCCTGGGACAGATTAGCAGATCCTCCAGTGTAGAAAACAGTCAATTGTCCACCGTCTCAATCCTACTTGCCCAACAGACCTTTTCACAGACCTTACCTTGCCACATACTCACACACTTAAGTCCATTAGGTCACACTAGGGTGTCAAAAAAGTCAAGATGGTCGCCATAATATGTGATGAAAGCCCACCTTGCTTTTACTCACAACAGGGCTTTGATTGCATAGCCATGATTAACAACTTGACTTTTTTGACCCCATTCCTATAGCCATCCCAGTCTACATTGTGCAAAACTAAAACATTCTCAGTTTTAACAGTGTTATAAAAACTTCCATCTACATCTTCATTGTTGAATGACAACAACCCAGAATCTCAAAAATCCCATTGTGTCGACTGCTGACAACTGCGCTTTCCTTCTGCCTTCATAAGGCTGTAGGAGAAGTGAAGATGCCTTACAACCCAAGGCAGGAAGAACAATTTCACATGACTCTGGAACAAAATGGGGAAGTTTGATAGACTGCCAGAATGCATGGCAGGGAAACTGCCATTCTTTGCAGATATTGCACTGCATTGCAAATGAAACAAGGGTTTCCTGACATTTTTCTTACCCCCATCTTTGGTGGAGTTTGGGATTATCCACACTTGGGCTGCATCTGGAGTCTGCCTTTCTCCATCTCAAGAGTTCATGCCAGGCTTTACCAATGCTAGAACATCAGACATAAGTCACACACACACACAGGTGTGTGCGTGCACACATAGATCCAGGGACAAGGCTGAAACTTCAAGGAAAGGCAGAAGATGAAAACATAAACTGGGAAGAAGAAAGAGATTGGAATAGCAGCTAAAACTTTTGAATTTCCAAGTGATGCATCCAAGAAACAAACTATTGTTAATGAAGTATAACAGCTTTGTGGCATTTTTCAATGTGTTTTCAAAAATGCAAAACAAAATTGTGAAAACTTTAGAAGGGTAAAATTATTAGTTCATTATTAGGTTTGGTGTGACTTTTGAATCAAACTGAACATTTTTGTGTGTTTTTTTCTTCTTCCTTCCTTCCTGCTCATCTCTCCATGATGTAAAGCTAGAAAATGTTCAACTACTTCAGCTACAAGCAATACACTGGAAATTGTGCTGGACAAATGCTGCCTCAGATGAACACAGTTCCTGTTCTTTGTACCTGGCAGGAAAAAGACTAGCTTGGAAAAAAGGTCCTGCTGGTTGAAGGTCCTGCATGTGGGCCAGCTGAGGCAGCTGTGAGATTCTTCCCATCCCTTATTTTACAGAAGACCTTCACGCTCCCTCCCTCCTGCCAGGTGTGGGCCCTTAAACAAAGGTCTCCTCTGCAAACATTAAGCTGTTATGCTCCTCAGCTGGGACGCTGGGGCAGGACTGACTTCTAAGCCACTCGACTTTGCTCCGGATCAGCTCCTTCTCCACCATTTCTGTTCCTGATGGGGCAAAGTCTTTGGGATTGTCCTGGCTGAAGTATTCCCGGACTGTGTTGCGAATGGAAGCTGGGAGAAAGAAGTGGAAAGTGCCATTGCTCTCCTGGCTGGGATTCCCTTCTGGATGTGTCGGCAGCTGCCCTGGGTCTTCCGCCAGAGGAGCCCTTTGCAGAATCTTCTCCTGTGATGACCGCCCCACAGTTCCTTGGTGGTACCTCCTTGAAATGGAATGGAGTACCAAAGGAGTGTTTTGTCCATAAAAGACTGTCTGGGGTATGTGAACTTGTACAGTTTGTAGGCTCTTGGAAGTGGCTTCACTGTTACTATATTTTCCATCCAAGCTGGTACCCTTGTTGCTCATAGTTACAATTGCTTCCTCTGGCACAACTGGGGAATCACTTGGACTTCGCTCTTTGGCGGACATGTACACTGTTATCTTGGTGCGCTTCCAACTCTCTTGACTGTGAACAGCAGGTTCTGCACATTTGACCTCTAAATGCTTGGCAGATTTCTCCCTCTGTACATGCTGGTTCACTGGAGCAGAGCCTTCAGGAATATGGTCCCTGTGGTTAGGGTCTTCAGAACCGTGTCTTCCAAGAATCAGAGAGGGCATCTCAATGAACTGAGACTCCTGCTGGTTTTTGTCCAAATTGTCCTCATTTCCTAGATTCCCAGTCACACTAAGGGGCATGAAAACCTGCCTCTCACCTCTGCTGTGCCTTTTTTCTTTATCCTCCACTTGTCTATCAGTGCAAGAGTCCATATTGCTAGGGCCTAAGGGCAAAGGAGGAGTAAAGGGCTTGTGCCATTCTTTCAAGGACCTCTTAGACATTTGGGGGGACAAAGCATGGAGTTTGGTGGAAGTACCAAACATGAATGGCAGGATCGAGACATCCATGGGGCTGAAGGCAGAGGACTCAGAGCAGTAGGAGAATGCACTGTCTAGGGAGCTTAATGAGGAAGCTGAGGGAGAAGTGGTGATGGAAGACAGGCTGGAGAAGCTGGATCGGTTGGACAAGTTTGTTTGTTGAGTGCTGATCTTCTTTGCCATGTTGCTGCACAGAGGTGATCTCCAGAAGCTTTGCCTTGCTCTGCTCAGCCCAGGGCTCAAACCTTCATCAATAAGCTTCTGACTCTCCAGCTGCAACTGCTTCAGCCTATGGATGTAATCGCCATGGGTATGCATGATGGTGGCATCACAACTAGATTGCCGGGCCACTGGCTCATGGTCCTGGGCAGGAAACTGAGAACTCAGGCAAACACTGGGCTCTGAGGAACATCGGTTCCTTGCAGGGCTGAGTGAACTAATGGAGCCGAGAGAGCAGAAGGAACTTTCTTCTTCGAGGCGGTCATAACTGTCAGTACTTGCGTTCTTCCTGGCTTTATTCTGGTAGCAAGCTGTGATCTCGCTGAACAAATCCCAGTCTTCTTGTTCCTCACTGAGAATCAGCCCTCCGGATGGGCTGAACAGGCCATCATCTCCTTCAAACCCATAATGTTGTTGGGCTCTTTCTTGGTAAACGGTTGCATATTCCATCTCATCTGAGGAATCGTTGTGCTGAACTGCAGAGGGAATAAAGAACATTGAAGGACAGAAGATGGGAGCATTTGTTGCTTAAGCCTGCCAAAATGCCCCTCCCCCACCACCCCAATTATCTTCTGACAGTGTGTGGAGAGTAAATTACTAAGAAGCACGTTATTTTAAAAGGAGTTTTCACAGGATGGCCTAAGAACATTTCCAATGGTGCGACTGCATCTTGTTGAGAAGCAGATACAAATTCAGCAATAAAAGATGCAACCCTGTCAGAAAGCGGCCATTTCCTCTTGGGTTCTTTTCCTGTCCAGGTCCTTGCAGAGTGACAGCCAGATAAGGAGGCCTTTAGTGATATGATAATCTGATTTAATAAATCTTTCCCCCTATTTCTGATTGGTTGATGCTTAATAAGAACAATTTATGGTTCATCTCTTGATGGATTTAGAGTGCTGCTTATGGATATGCCTGATTTTAATTTTGAATACTATTTTTAGGGTAGGCCATCTGCAGTTTCTGTTCAACTAAAAAGCTTTGATGAGGGTATGTAATAAGGAAGAACCAGGTTCTGAGAATATGAGACATTTGAAAGACTCTTGTTTTGAGTTGTCCCTCTGTGTGTATGTGTGTGTGTGTGTGTGTGTTTGTATGGGTGTGGCAAAAGTCAAGATGATAGCTGCAAGCTCATGGTTGAAGCCCCACCCTCTTTCCACATGTACTGAACATGCAGTGCACATAAAAAGAGGACAACATTGCCATCATGCAGTTGTAGTGCCTTTCTTGATTTTTTAAAATTCCCTCTGCAGTTGGCCCTGCCCTTGTTAATGTTGTTAAATGTGGCCCACATCTTTGTATCCCCTGGAAAAGATAGAATAAATTAATACTCTAGCAACAATCTTACCTAGTAAGTCATCCACACTTTGGGACTTTTTCTTTTCTGGCCTTTGGAACAGGGAAGCAATGTCCCCTCCAAAAATTTCAGCGGAGTTTTCAATTAGGAATTGCACCAACATGGCCACCTACCAAAAGGAACAGTCCCAGGTCAGAATGGGAGAAACAGCCTTGGGTTTTCGTACTGGGAGCACTGAAGAAGACAATGGCCTGAGTTGCATAGCAGGCTAAGCCAGGATGTTTGGTCACTTTTTGCTTCTCTAACAATCCATGTTTACGCAGGTTGAATGTAAATGGGAAGCAGGACATAACAGTGTAACAGACTTGGAAGGGACCTTGGAGGTCTTCCAGTCCAACCCCCTGCTCAAGTATCAACCCTAAGGCTAGACTGACTCCAGCCTTGCCCAGACTGCTGAGACCCAGATGGGCTGAACTCCCCCTCCCTTTATTTCCAGCCGTTCCCACTGATGGCCAGGAGGGTCTAAAGAGGGGGCACAGAGCCCAGCCTGCCTGGGCTGCAGGTTGGGGAAGTCAGGTTTTCATCATGCGATTTTTCTCGGGCTGCGTGGCAAAGAGCCAAAGCAGATTGTCAGCTCTGAGATACACTGAAGTTGTTTAAATGCAGAGTGGCCTTCAATAACTTTGACCCCCATTTTTCTGTCCAAAACTCCCCCTCAAGACTTGCACAGTGGGCTATAGATGAGGGAAGACATATTAGCAGAGAGGAAAACCTGCTGTCCTTTGGAAAGATCAGATTTGGGAACAAATGAGATCACCCCAAGAGAGGTCACCTTCTTGGTTGACTTGCTCTCCTCCTCGGGTCCAGTGGGACTGGGAAGCCACAGCATGTTGGGGGCGATGCAAAGAGCCAGGTTGAAGGCATTCATCTGATTCTCCACCGCATTCCGCTCAATATGGTGCAAGACCCCAAACAGGTGTCTGAGCAAAAGGAGGTTGGCCTTCGGAAGCTGCTTCACTAAGCTGTCCAAAGAAAAGAGACCAAGGTGAACCCTCTGGAAATCATGGGTGCTCAGTGTGCAGATCCCCACAGGCACAGAGACTCCTCAAGCGAACTGGTTTGGTGGGGGGACTTGAGCAGGGGTCCTCTCCTGTCTGGAAGTCTTCAGTGGAAACTGGACTTCTGGGGGAGAATTCCAAGAACTGGATGCCAAGAGGAGAACTCAGGAAGGCCTGTCCCTCCTGCTGGTAGAGAGTAAAAGCCACCACTCTGTGAACAAGAAGAGAGTTCCTGCACAGTGGCAGGTGCTTTTCTCCCTTGAGCAACTGATTATCTGAACTGACTGATGCAAAACAAGCAGGCCTCCATGTGGAAATGTGTCAAGAACATTGAGCTGTAGAAAAGTGAAAGGTACAGACTATGGGGAGGCCTCGTTAGGTTCATGACTTCACAGGGAAGTGGAATCTCTGGTTGCTGAACCCCAGCTCTTAGCAGCCCTGGCCAGCCTGAAGATGCTGAGGGACGCTGAAATCATTGTTCAGAGGCATTGCCAGCTCACAGGTTGCCAAAGGTTATGCATGATATGGCCTCCCTGCCAAAGGTTATGCATGATATGACCTTGCCCAAGCAGTGGAATACACATGCTCTGAACAGCTCCATGCACGTGATGCCCTGAGCGTGTGAAAGTGGTAACAATCTAGCCTCACACAGGCGTCCATCCCCCACAATATGTGCCTGATTTGGGCCTGAGGTCACGGGTGAAGCCAAAGATGATGAGAGAAAGTGCCACCCACCTCTGGATAGCTTCAATCTTGTGTGCTCGACTTTCCTTCTCCATGGCTTCCATCCATAGATTGTGCATGTCTGAGGATAGAACACTGTCAGGTATGTTTCGCAGAAAGTCCTAAATTTAAATACACACACGCAGAGTAGTTTAGTCAGTCACACAATCAGCAAGTTAGCTTTGAGTTTTCTTTGAAAGCACTTTTATCGATTCAGCCTTCAGGAATTAGCCATTTGGCCACAGGATTCTGAAGTCACAATCTGAGGGTGGCAAAAATGGTCTTGAGAGTCACATGTGGATGATGAGTTGCCATCTTCTTCTCATCTCCCATAAGGCAGTTTGGTACAGCCACCAAACAGGACTCCAACAGAGAGTTAAGACTGCAAAAAAACAATTGCAACCAGCCTGCCTTCCATAGAAGACCTGTATATTGCGCGGGTCAGGAGGAGGACTGAGAAAATATCTACAGACACCCCCACACACACACATCCTGGACATCAACTGTTTCAGCGTCTACTCTCACGATGCTGCTAAAAGGCATTGCATGCCAAAACTGCTGGACACGGGGACAGTTTCTTCCCTCATCCTATCATTCTGCTGAACACCTAATTCTCACAATGCTGTCTAATGTCTATGTGTATTTACCCATGTAGTATGACTGTGGTAGCATTATTTATCCTTCTTATTACTTTCTTTACTGTTCCCTCTTATTAGTATTACTATTACTTGTTGTTGTTGTTGTTGTTGTTATTATTATTATTATTAATTATTATTATTGTTATTATTATTATTATGTTGCTTTGAGAGCTTCTGCACTGGAGATAAATTCCTTGTGTGTCTAATCAGATTTGGTCAAATAAAGTATTCGACAAAGGTATCTCTCCCTCCCCATATTGGAGCAGAAACTGATACCTCTAATTGCTCTGCCCATCATCTTCTGCTTCACCCTTCTTTGCTGAGAGAAAAGAATCTTTTCTGAGCTGTTCAAACTCATCAGCCCATGTTCCAGGTGGGTACCAACAAGGCAGCTGTTGGACCAGTGTTCGTTTCTGCTGCAGGCAGCATCTTTCAGATGGCCTTGGTTCCTAGAAAGCTGAAGCACAAGACCCTTGGGCTACATTGGACTTGGTACATCCAAACCTTGCTGAAATTCTTTCCCTAGGAATTATGGAAACCAGCTTTCCATGAACTTTGAATTCTCACATGACTCTTAACTCCTATGGTGGCCCACTTTACCGTAATGATTGCTGCTGCCACGAAGACAGATTCACCATCCACTTGGACATCATTGCCCGAGTTGAGTTTCTCTTTCAGCTCCTTGCAATTCTTGGCATTGGCGGAGCGCCTGAAGATGCCCCGAGTGGAAGGACCTTCGTGGTAGAGCAGATACAAAATGTCCTGCAGGTGGTGAAGGCAAAGATCACACCATCACTGTAATACTTCTCAAAAATTTTGGGCTGTGCTGGTTGGAAAATTCTGGAAGTTGAAGTCCATACATCTTAAAATGGTTGAGGTTGAGAAACTCTGCTCTAAGGTTTTATCTAAGAAATCCAGTTAATTAAAACAGGCAAAAGCAAGAGCCATTTGCTTTTTCCAGAGGGTGGGAAGTAGATTAGATGCAACTCTTAGCATCCCCTTCCCTGGGGTGTCTTCGGTTGAGCTTTGGTCTCCACTCAGGTGAATCTCAAGAGTGAAGCCCCATCCATGCTAGGACTTCAGGAAGAACACTGGTCTCCCCACACCCCTAGGATTAGAGTGCCCGCATCTTCCCCTCCACAGTGGTGGATGGATAAAACTGTATGCCATTAAAGAGACAGGAGAATTTGGTTGTGTTGGAGTTTTCATAAAAACATACCCCCTTCAAATTCAAACTTTGATAGATAAACCAAGAAGAACATCTTACCATGATGGGCTTGGGAAGAGTTCCGTCAGGACAGACTGATGTTAACGACAAGCCAAACAGTTTTCGGGGGTTGGTTGGGGACTGAGAGGCAGAACTGCCCATTGGTGTGCTGACACTTCGCCGAAGAGCCCAGTCGATCAGAGACTTCTTGCGCTTGAAATGTTTCTGCAAAGGGGCTGAGAGCACAAAGGGACATGGGTGGAAGTGGTCAAATGGCCCTTGCATTTCAGGACAGGTACTGGTCAAGAAGAGTGGTGGTCACAAAGGAACAACTGAAGCAATTAAAAGTGGCTCACGAAGAGCTGAATGATGGACTTCTTGCCTGATGAATGTGATGTATTACTGAATTTTTATCCCATTTATTATCCGATTTTTATCTCTGCTAGGTCAAGGCAGTGCACATGGGGATTACCTCTCATTTTCTATCCACAATAACAACCCTGCCTGCTGGGTTGAACTGAGAAAGAGCAACTGTTCAAAATTGTCCAGAAATCTCCATCTCAGATTTTTCTATAGTCCCAGCCTAGCATCTTCACCACGAGAGTATTCTGCAGTCTTTTTATTTAATTGGATTTCATTCTGTCCACCTTCCCAACCATGCTTTTTAATCAAGATAAGGATAACAAAGAACTCACGATCAGACTTCAAACCGTTTTCTAAAGTGCTAAACCAACCCCAGCAGGACAGTAAGAGGGTTGAACTTGATTGGAAAAATGTCCCTGAGCCAAGAAACCCTCAGATTTCCCTATACCTGATTCCTTGATGAACATTTTGTTGTGCCCTCCCTGCTCCACCCCACCCCAGAGAAAAAAATGGGGCTTGCTGATTTGGCACCAGAAGAAGAGAATAATTGGAGGCTCCAGCTCTAGAGCACTTGGATGGCCTTCACAAACAACAGTCAGAACCTCAATTTTTCCCTGGATTTGGCCTGCTGGAGAAGACCCACTTCTACCTGAGAAACATTTCCCTAATAGGATGGGGGTGGTGACATCTTCCTCAGCCTGATTAGACCACAGGCACAGTAAGCATTAAGTCAGCCTGTGTGGTCAAAGAGGCTCACAAGTTGCCAAACATGCCATTAATGGCCAGGCAGCCTCTGCAAAGGGTTGGGGCAGCCCAGCTCTCCAGAGCCATGGGGCTGCTTGGATGGCTTTCTCAGGTTGTCTTTGCAGACACAGTCATGGCTTCCAGTGGAATGCTGGCAAAGTGAAGAGAATCTCGCACCCATGTTGAGAAAATGGCCTTAAAGTGACAGTGGGAGTGTGCTGAGCAAGAGTGTTTCACCCTGTGGCTCTGAATCTTTACATAGCCCTGGGCAACATTATAACAGGAGACCTCAAGCTTCCTCCCAGCAAGTGACATTTCAGAACCCATATTGTTTAAGGGGGCTCTTTCTACTTCTATTTCTTCTATTATTCTGGGTTCTGCCATACATCTGCCATACATCTGGAAGACCCTAACAGACATTTTACCTCTCCGCAACTGCACTGGAGCCTGGGGTTTGGGCTTCAGGATAAACTGGCACTGCTGGTCCCTGGGCAGCTGGTGCAGCAGTGAAGTTTCGTACTCATCAGGAAGCAGCACGCCATTGCCAGGGCCTCGCAACTGGTCCTTGGAGCCTCGGAGGCAACCCAGGATAATGCTGAAGGGATGCTCATGTCCTATGGCAACAACAGGCTAGTTGCATCATCTACTGAAGACAAAGAGGCCTGGCAAAGTTTAAGTTTGGGAAATAAAACGCAGCAAAGAATTGACCGACTGGGATTCTAGTCCATATGACTAAAGGAGGCTGAGCCTAGACATCACCCTCCCCCCCCATGTCCAGTGCCCAGGGGAAGGAGATCCAACTGATCAGCCCAGGAAGGCCCACTGCAGTTACTGGTCAAATCAAGTCAGGGAATAACCCTTGGTCCTCAGAGGTCTGATTTTATCATTGGCTTGACCCCATTCACTTTAAACTGCCATCAGCTGAATTATCCCATCCTGAATTGCACAGGAGACTCCCTGACTTCTGCTGAGTATGTATATCTGCAGAATGTCAGGTGGCCCAAGCCAGTTGAATGAGGAAATGAGATGAGGCTGAAGCTAAAGGGGAAAAAATAATAATAATCTTTCCTTGACAGCAGGATTTTCCTGATAAGGATGTGTGGCTGCAGAGCAAACAATTGTTTGCGTCACAACTAGATGAAGTCCCACCATTCCCTTCCAAAAACCCTCCACCACTGATCCACTTTTGAGAAGCTTCCCCAAATGTTCTGACTTTAAGAAAGGAGAAATATTCATGTACACAACTGTTGAAAGAAAGGGCAGTGCAAAGAGGGACAATTGCTGCCAACCACCCAACAACCGGAATATACAAAACCACATTTTTTTCTTGCCACAAGCCTCTGGGCTTCAATCCAGAGGAGAGCATAGAAATGTGCCTGCCAACGCAGCCCCTGGTGCCCATCCCATTCCCTACCACAGTGGTTCTCAACTAGTGGTCCGTGGACCCCTAGGGGTCTGCAATGTCATCAGAGGGGTCTGTGATGGGATGTGGAAATTGAAATGTAAGAGGGGTAAATATTAAAGAGCATGATGTCCTCTAATGTTTTTGTTATAGCTTTATTGGACTGGCATGGTCTCAGTGCTGAGCTTCTTCCACCCAACTGAAGAAAGGGCTCAGCAGGGGTGATGCATGTAAAAAAGGAGCAGGAGCTTGACTGTGCAGTCACCAGCACCATCCTGAATTTCGTTTAAATCCCCATCTCTTTGAGGATACCCCTGGGGCTTAGTTCTCACTGTACAATATGGAACAGAATTTGCCTGTGCTAATGAAGCGAATTCCTGGGAACCCCAGTCAGGCATTCTAAAGAAAGGCATAGGAGGCCACAAAGCAGCAGTGGGCAGCTCTTCTCTTCCATAAACTCATGGTGGCATGACTGTGAAGGTCTTGTCTACATAAAGACAGGGCAGTTACCCACCAGAATAACCCTTCCTGTGTAGACCCCACCTCAAGGCTTCCACCCATCCCAAACCCTGCACTATTTGAGTTCCAGTTCCTGAGACTCCCTTTGAGCCCACAACTCTCTCGCAAGGGCTCCCACTGCAGGCAGTTGTGATGGGCTCATTGGTTGGCTGCGCCACAGGGACTGCTTTGAAGGGAAAGGCCCAAATTGGTCCGTAGAGACCACATTGCTTTTTTTGACAATAGAGGTCTTCTCTCCTGTTTTGGCTCCAGAGGTCATAGTCCCAATTATAGTCCTTTGGTAGTTATGAAACAGTCTTTAGGAATTCTGAGAAAGAATCCTATGGAACAGGTCATTTCCCTCTTGGCCTGTCCTCCATTTCAACAGGAAAAGCTTTTGGACTTCTTCTCACTTAGCTGTCAATCCAGACTAAGGCTCAAGGTTGCATTAGATACATGGAGAAGTAACAACACCCCCAGTGTTGTTATACCATCAGGACCATATGTCTCTGCCCTGCTGGCTGGGATTGATTGATTGATAGGCGGTGGTTCAAAAACATCTGAAGGGCCACATATTTTCTACCCCTTGTCTATAACCAATAGGACTCTTGTGTGTGTGTGATTTTGATTGCACTAACAAGAAGGCTTTTTGGCTAGAAGAATACAGATGAGATCTTTTGAAAGCATTGTGGATTTAGGTAATTCTACCCCAACTCAGCTAAGGTGAACCACCAATACCAGCTGAAGTTGCAAATATTCTCCACACTCCCATCTCCATTCAAGAAAGGAAGAGTTCTTACCAATCAGGGGGTATGCAGGATTGTCCCTTCCTGAAATAACCCACAGGTGATAGTCACTTGGTCTACCCTGTGAATGGAAAGATAGAAGGCTAGTGAAGATCAAGTTGCGGAAGGAGTAGAGCAATTGAATGCAAAACAATATAAGAATAAACAGGCCAGGCTTGGAAGGAGGGAGGGAGGGAATCTGGAAACCCAGGATTATAAATCTCATGGAAAACAATCCCTTGGAAGGAAGGGAAAAATGCAGGAAATGGCAAGACAAAGAGTCAGGAAGATACAAGTCCAAACAAAAATCCACCAGGTGTGCTGCACTGCATTTCACCTCATTTATGCAAAGGCTTTCAGAGCGAGCACAACTGGATCAGTGAACCATTCTTTAATTTTACACAAACATACACATACAACAACAATAAATATAGCTTGCAACTCCATCCTCTCATAGTTGTGAAAAGGACAATTTGGAAAAGGCTTTTAGGACAGGAGCTCTGCCCTTTCTGATCCTCCCGGTGAAATTCATCTCAAGAGTTGTGCATGTCGGTTACGCTGATGTATGAGTAATACAGCCTAGCTTTCCATGAGGGCACTACTCATTCCGACATACAAATAGTTAATCTGAGACTTCCTTACAGTGGCCCTTTCAAGAACTTCCCAGCTGTCCTCAAAGAGAACATTTGACCAGCCACTGGCTCAACTGAGCCAGGCCAAAAATGTCACACAGGACAATACTTGTGCATAATTGCTTGTGCACAAGTTACCTTAATATGATATGTTATGATTTATGTGGGACAACCATCTGTTTCTTTGTGAAGTATCCAGCACCTAGGGATTTTGCAAAGTGGATTTTAATGAAGACACTTCAATACTTTCTCTACTTCAGCTGACTTTCTTTGTGGGGTAAGTATGAACCCAAATGGACAGATCCAACTGGACATCTGGATCTGTGGTCTCTCTCTCTCTCTCTAAAGAAAAACGGGAGCCATTCCTCTCCCCACCAATATCACTGAACCATTTTTGACAGGATGTTACACTTATACTTACAGGAACCCCCAACTGTTCTGTGGTCTTTTTGATAATATTGTCAGCAGTTTCCATGTTGGAGATGCTTAATGCAGTGTTCTGAATAAAACAAATAAACATTGTAATAATTCCTATTCCTTTCTGAAAAAGAATATTTTAATGAATTAATATCATCATATGAAACATATTTACAGCAATATTCTTTAACATATAAGATCACTAATTTGTCACATTATGATATTCCAGTTCCGAATTCCAAAGGACTTGTAGATTAGCAATATCCATCTTGAAGAATCCCTTGGCTTTCTACAGCAATGAAAAGGAGCTTTAGACTCTGTAATCTGGAAGCTTCAGAAATGGCTAATACAGCAGATCCAAATTTTTAAAAACAAAATTTTAATTGAATATATAGTCATTCTGAAATGTTGATCGATTGATTAAATATTATGTGCCATCAAGTCAACACTAACTCTGGCAACCAACTCCAGGATGATCTATGCCCAATGTGGCTCCTCAGATCACCCAGTGGAGTTCCCATTGCCACTTGAATCAACTCTGTCTGCCTTGATGTTGCATGTCCTCTTTTCTCTTTCCTTCCATCTTTCCCCACATCAAAGCTTTCTCTAGAGAACTGGATCTTTGCAGATGTGCCCAAAGTAGGATAATTTGAGCCTGGGCACTTGTGCCTCAAGTGAGAACTCTGGTTTGATTTGTCTAACAATCCATGTGCCTGTTTCTTGGCTATGCATAGTACTCTCGGGAGTCTTCTCCAATATCAGCATTCAAAAATGTCAGTACTCTTCTTATCCTCTTCTACAAAGTTCAACTTTCACTTCCATGGTGCATCACAGAGATCATCACTGCTTGCAAAAGTCTGAACTTTGCTGCTATGGCCACATTCAAATTCTTCTTGCAGTTGTAGAATGATTTTGAAGATGGCATTAACAAAAACTTGGTATTAACATTTTTCTTCTGCCCAAGTACTTAAACAAACAAATAAACAAAAAAGGCCAACACATTTATCTGTGATTCTAAAGTGTCATTCTTAACATGGAAGCAGGGGTTGAATTTAAATTCCCTGATTTTTCAAATATATTTAACACTTTTTAATGATGGAAAGACAATTAAATTTTGGCTAGAAGAAGTTCTCCATCTATTGATGTTATTTTGGAGGCTTGGATCCCCTCATTCATTAGTTTAAGTTGCAATTTTTCTTTCAGCTTTTAACAACAACAACAATTTGTTTATTACTCACAGAAGAGTTTTTCTCCCTGTCCATCACCAAAATCTGCATGGGAAAACTTTGGTGGTACTCAGTCTGCTTCATTTCATAGATGTGCCTGTAATTTAAATATTGATGGTGAGTTCAGAAATGTTGTGCTGCACAGAATAATTGTATTAAGTTGAATAGAAAAAAGCTATTTAAAGTCCTCCAAAGAATTCTACTATTCCTCTGCCTGGGAACTCGGGAACTCCCACCAAGATTCCATTGGGATGCCATTAGGTGAAGATGAGGATTGGCCCAGATGATGTCCTACCTCATGAATGCCCAGAATGGACTAAAATGGGGACGGTCACTATTGGGTGGGGTGGAAGGAGCAAGTATGTCATAAAATGAAGCTGGCGTTTCCCATTTTTACAATCTAGGTATCCTTTTATCTCTAGGATGTAAAAATAGGGAGCACAAATAAAGGCAGGGCATCTCATTCTTGGTACACTGGCAGGGCCTTCCTTCAGGATGCAATAACACAGAGCAGAAAAGAAGGAAGAACACATCTCATACCAGAGCAGCACGGACAGCCATCTTTCCTTCACTTCTGAAGAGCTGGAAAGAAAGAAAAAACATTGAGGTAGGACAATATCACATAGATTTTGTCAACTTTACTATATTAATCTGCAAAGCCCCAAATGTTAGGTGTGAGATGGCTCTTGGTTCTGCTTCTGTCAAGGAGGAAATACTTAGAATAGAATAGAGCTGGAAGGTGAGGGATATCATCCCTGTTGCCCAAGAGGTGAGTGCCATGGGGGGGAAATGCCAAGAACTTCCCATCTCTTCCCCCACCTTGCCGGAGTCCCAGCCTGACCGCTGGAGCCCATGCCATTTCACCCATCCCCCAAATAGCTGTGATACCAAGCTCTGTGTTCCAGCCAAGTTTGTTGCCACAGCCTTGGGATGCCAGTCTCAGAGTTCAGCCAAGAGAAGTCTGGAGAGTGGTTCGGCTACATCCCCAGGACCAGCAAGCCACCCAAGTCCAGAAAGCTGCCCAAGCCCAGCAGCAGGTACAGGAGGCTCCACTGAAGTTCGAGCCGCCTCCCATCAAGCCCATCTTTGATGGGGATCCCGAGAAGCTGACCTTATTCTTCAACCAGGTGTGGGCTCATTTCGATTGCTATGCTTATGCCTACCTGGATGGGGCTATGATGGTGAATGCTGTGATGGCAAATTTAGAGGGGTGAAGGAGCTCCTGAATTGCACGACATTAATCTATTCATGGAGCAACTGAGGCAGTGGTGGGATTCAGCCAGTTCGCACCACTTTGGCAGAATCAGTAGCTAATTTTTTGTTGCCCAGGCCCAGAATGGACTTCCGGAAGCGGCATCCACACAGAGAACCAACTGTTTACATATTTGAATCTCACCACTGAACTGAGGGGTCAGTTTGAAGATGAATCCTGAGTCCTACTGGCTGAGAAAGAAATCCACCACCTGAAGCAAAGAGGTCGCCCCGCAAGGGAGTACATCTGTGAGTTCAGGAGAGTTGCTAATCAGCCAAGGCAGTGGCCTGAGCGGTCATTGATCAACTACTTCAAATGGGTTAGATCGTGACTTGCTTCAAGCCTACATCATTCGAGGTCTTCCTAACCTATTGCGTGAGTGGTACTGTATGGCAGTGATACTGGACCACCCCCGAAAGTCAAGCACCACCGAACCCAAGCCGCCACGTGTCCAAGAAAAACACCTCTATGGCTGACGTCCCCAAGCCTCTGCAGCCACCAACATCTCCCCAGCACCAGCCAGGGCTCCTATCAAATGCTACTGGTGTGATCAGATGGGTCACTGTGCTGTGGAGTGCCCAGCTCCTCTCTTTCAACCCAGGAGCATACCAGTTGCTGCCGCAAAACTACGAAGAGCTCCCAGAGGGGGAAGAGAGAAAAACAACTGGGCACGTCAAGACTTGGGTGTTGAAGCCTCCCCTCCCGCCGTGCTCGAAGCCAAACCCCAATCTGAGCTACAGCAAATGCCAGCACCGTACAACAGTGACAAGGAAGGCGAGGAGGACTCCATGGTGAGTCAGCCCATTCCCTATTTTGCCATTCCCACCAGGTTTGTAGTGCCCAAAATAGAGGCTCACCTGAATTTGAACGTCCTAATAGACTCAGGATGCACCCGGTGCTTAATTAACTTACCCACCATACTCAAACTGGGTATCTGAGCCAAGCTATCGCCCCTGCCCATGAGGGTTGAGCAGGCTGACGGGTCCCTCATCGGAGGTGTCCCGGCCATGTACCTAACTGAACCTGTGCATTTGGAAATGGGTCGGCATTGGAAAAGCATCTGTTTTGTAGTGATTACGAAGATGACCGAAGCAGTAATTTTGGGGCTAGCATGGCTCGATAAATGGCACCCTAACATCTGGTGGGAGGAGGGAATGCAGAAGACTGGGGACAGGACTCCTCCCACCTGCCACTGTCAAAACACAGACACTGGCCATCAGCGAGTTTCGAGGGGAGCCCGAGACCCTAAAGATTGTAGCTGAAAAATTGTCGGGGATTCAACTGGTCCCCACAGAATACCGTGATTTGGCGGAAGCATTTAGTGAGAAGAAATGTGGCATCCTCTCCCCCACATCAGGCCCTGGACTGTGCTATTGAAATTCTGCCCGATGCCAAGTTCCCAAAACCAAAAATGTACTCTATGACACCCAGAGAGATGAAAGAACTGAGGGAGTACATCGATAAAAACTTGGCTCGGGGTTTCATTCAGCCAGCCAAATCACCTGTGGCTGCTCCCGTACTTTTCAAGGAAAAGAAAGATGGCTCTTAGATTATGCGTGGATTTTAAATTCCTCGACGCTGTCAGCATGGAAAATACGTTTTACGACTTCCGGTTCCGGTACGCGGTGATGCCGGACGTGATTGGAGACTTGTCTCCGCATGTCCGGAATTTCCTTCGCTGGTAGACCCCCTAGGGGGTCAAAAGTCACCCTGGAGGGGCGACCACTGAGGAGGAGGCTTGCTGGTAGATAGGGGAGGGTGGCAGCTTAACCCGTGTCTCCAGCTATCTCCTTAGGGCCGACGGAGCAAAGATCGGCCTGCAAGATGGCAGATCACCCTGCTGCACCAGCCGAAAGTCACACTGACACCTAAGCGCAATAGACCCACTGCGGATGATCCGGGTGAGACCCTTTTTGTTCCTCTCTTCACCCTATGTTGTTTTTGCCTGCAAAAGCTTCGTTGGAATTATTTCCCTGTCTGGAAAAAGCGGCTTTTGTATGTGTGGGAACAAAGGCGTTTTACAAAAGAACAGATTAAAACCTTTTTAAAGACTATATTTTATCTCTATCCACGTTGAGGTACAGAAAAAATTGTTGTTGTTTTTTTTGGAGCGGTATTATATTGGTAGAGTATTTCTTTTTCCATTCTTTCTTTAAAAAATAGAAAAAAGGAAAAAAATGGCGTTTGAAAAAGTCTTTTTAGCTTACTGAGGACATCTACTGGTCAAAAGTTAATATTGGAATTGTTGACTATTTGGAGATGAGATGGTTTTGGCCTTCAAACTATTTTTCAAGAGAAAAGATAATTTGAGCCAGCTGTGGGATTTGTGGAGGTGGATACTTTTCAACTGTAGCCTCCACTAAAAAAGAAAAAAAGAAAAAGAAAAAAGGATTTCTCTTCAACTATTGTTAAAACGGAGAAGCCTCAACCACATTTAAATTGTAAACTTATACAGGAAAAGATCTATGAGGCTAAAGAAGAAATATGCACTACAATAAAAGAGTTTACTACAGAATTAAGAGCCAGAACTCCTACTTTAAACCTTAAAACTGACTCTCAGATTACACCTGACTACTCTACAAAACAGATTATACAAGAAGAGGACTTAACTGAGAATAAAGAGAATTTTATCTTGCCCTATAAGCAGTCCACCTATGGCTTTGAAGACCAGGAAAAGCAAAGACTTCTGAAGCAACGAGGCTTTATGGACAAGAGAAACAGAGGGCCAATGCAGAGACCAAGATGGTTTTCATCAAATCAAATGACACTACAAGCAACAAAAAGAGATTCATCACCTGGAAGGGAAGCTTTGCTATGGAAACCTGCCTGGCATAAGAGGAAAGCTAGAATAAGATTGAAAAATGAAATTTAAAATTTTATGTATTGGATTAAAGGCAACCTAGAATTATGGACTGATGTAAGGATTAAGATTATGAGTTTGAAGTAAAGAGATGTTTTAGACTTGGATTGAATTAATTAATTGAATGTTAATTAAATAAGATGACTTGTTTGTTTTATAACATGGATGTTTAGCTATGATAACTAACTGGATGAAATTTGAATTCTGATCAATGGATTGAAATGATTTAAGGTCTGATACTATTCTGTCAGCTTAAAGAGATTGATTAATTGATGGATTAGACATGTATAGAATAGATAGATAGATATACACATTTAGATATGTCTAGGATAGATCAATATTTTTCTTTAAAAATGAGATATTTTTATATAATGGATTAAAGGTAATCTAGAATATTAAGAATGTATTTTTTAGAATGTTAGGTTCATTTGTATGAAAATTATTATGTAATGGAATGAAGAAAATTGAAAAGATGTTTTAGATTTGAATTGAATTATTAATTAATTGAAATTTAATAAGATGATGTGATTCTTTGATGATATGGATGTTATTAGTTATGATAATTAACTGGATGAGATTTGAATTCTGTTTAATGGGTTGAAAGGATTTAAGTTCCGATATTATCTTGTCAGCTTAAAGAGATTGATTAATTGATGGATTAGATAGGTATAGGATAGATTAATATTTTACTTTAAATAGGGGAGATTAGTGGAAGAAGAAACAAATAAGATTTTGATAAAATTAAGAAAGTAGAATATACTTGGAAGGGATATTTGAATTGAAAATGTCTTTATTTAAAGTTAATTTGATTATGGTATTGTAAATTTATAAAACTTTAAAACAGGTTCAGGCTGAATAAATTTAAGCTAGAACTGGATATTTTAAATATACTATGCTATTTGAGGGAAAAAGAGAGGGAATATTTGATGTATTGATTGTACTATGTATATATGTTTTGTTCTAGGATGTTTGATTACCCAGCACTACAGTGTGTCCTGAATACTTTGTTTTAAGAAATTAAAAAACCAATAAAATTTGTTTAAAAAAAAAGAAAATATGTTTTATGATAAATACCCTCACAAGCCTCGAGGGAATACTTAACCTTTTTGTTTCCCCTGCAGGAAACCCTTTCTTTCTCAGAGGGGCAGACTGTCAACTCTACAAACGAACATGGCTGCAGCCATTATTCCTACTCATTTTTGATTGCCCCATAGAATGGAGGGAGGGGGTTGCCAAGTGCTTCACTAGTCAAAATAATATTTTGTCCCATGGGAACCAAGGTCATCGACTGCTCCTGAGATTGCAGACTGAGCGTTGCGAGAAAAGCCCGCCAAGAAGATGTATTGGGGAACATAGTTGGTTGCCTAGCCTTAGGGGTGGGATTTTTTAACTTTGTATTGGGGAATTGTTACATGTATCTCCAGACTTGGTTTCACTTTTGACATGCCAATACTTTGTAACTAATAAACATGTTCTTTGAGGAATTTGCAAGCCTTGGAATTTAGAATAGAATAGAATAGAATAGAATAGAATAGAATAGAATAGAATAGAATAGAATAGAATAGAATAGAATAGAGCTGGAAGGGACCTTGTAGGTCTTCTAGTCCAGCCCCCTGCTCAAGCAGGAGGTCCTATACCATCTCAGATGATTGTCCAGTCTCTTTAAAAACTTCCAAAGATGGAGCACCCATGATTTCTGGGGTAAGCTTTTCCATTGGTTAATTGTCCTCACTGTCAGGAAGTTTCTCCTTCGTTCCAGGTTGCTTCTCTCTTTGATCAGCTTCCAACCATTGTTTCTTGTCCTTACCTTTGGTGCTCTGGTGAACAACCTGCCCCCTCTGCCTTGTGGCAGCCCTTCAGATACTGGAACACTGCTATCATGTCTCCCCTATTTCTTCTTTTCTTTAGACTAGCCAAACCCAAGTTCCACAGCCGTTCTTCGTACATGTTAGTCTCTAGGCCTTTGATCATCTTAGTTGCTCTTCTCTGATTTTTTTCCAGTCTCTCAACATCTTTTTTGTGATCAAAATTGGCTGCAGTATTTGAGGTGTGGTCTTACTAGGGTTTTATAAAGTGGTACTAATACTTCGCGAGATCTTGATTCGATGCCTCTATTTATACAACCCAAGATTGTATTAGCTTTTTTAGCTGTTGCTGCACACTGCTGGCTTATGAGGCTTATTCCCTCACCTAAGTCATTAATGAAGATATTGAAGACAGACCTAAGACAGAGCCTTGGGGTACTCCACTGCTTACGTCTCTCCATGTGGATGTAGTACCATTGAGGAGTACTCGTTGAGTATGGTTTGTCAGCCAGTTACAAATCCATCTGATGGTGATGTTGTGTATTCCACCTTTTTCTAGCTTACCAAGCAGTAGATCTGTGGTCTACTTTGTTGAACTGAAATCTAAATATACTATGTCCACCAAGTTTCGATGGTTTACTAATTTGGTCTCTTTATCAAAGAACAAAATAAGATTGGTTTGGCATGATCTGTTTTTAACAACCCATGCTGGCTACCAGTTATAATTTTGTTTGCTTCTAGTTGTTTGTAGATCTGTTTTTTATTATCTTTTCAAGGATCTTCCCAGGTATTGATGTTGGACTGATTGGTCTATAGTTTCCTGGGTCTGTTTTTCCCCCCTTTCTTGAAGATGGGAACCACTTGAGGCATCCTACTTCCTTCCTGGTCTTGAAGACTCCTGCCTGTGGGTGCAGAGGGTTCCCCAGCAGACTCCCAGATCTCAACAGCAGGAAAACTCTGCTCATTTTAATTAACCAGCCATTGGCCATAAAATTCAGGCTGATGTACAGCAAAATTGGTTGAGGGAAGAACTTTGCATGAGAGAATCAACTGATTGTAAAGAGGGATTATAAAAAGCAATATTTTGAGTTGAGGTTTTAAAGAGGTGAGAGTGCAATGTGTGTCTGTGCACATGTGTGGACATACAGATATATTGCAACCATAAGAGGATATGTAGCATATACATATGTATTTAATATGTATTGACCATAAGGCTCTTAATATGTTGTTACCCCACAATCAAACATAGCTAGGAAAAACGGTGAACTTGAATGGCTTTCATGCTTCATTACACACAACTCTTCCTTTGGTCACAGCCTATTCAGGGCTCTTCTATTTTAGTGCCTGTTACATTATCTCCTGTGCACACCCATCCCTGCACACACACGCTGGCTGAGCTGGGTTTCCCAGCCTGGCTGATTAGAATGGAAAAGCTCTGTTCCAATGTAGATTTGGATTCTGGCTTTAAACTTTACTCTGTCTCTCCCTCCTCCCCTTTTCTTCTATTGCACAATTCCTATAAGCCATTTCCCTGGCAGGCAACTTCAGTGACGTGGGGGAAACGGTGCCCATTTCAAGCTTTGCATAAATTGATGTTGCTGCAAAAGCGAGGCCAGAGGCTCAACGTTTGGGTCCAGCGTCCGCCAAATCAGCAGTTGCAACACTGCAGACTCTCTTCTGTGATGGTCCTTGGCTGCCAAGTCAGTGCGACACCATGCCGGGTGCAGCTGAGAGCAGGAAGCTGCATGCCTGTTTTTCTGGCTCTGGAGTGGGAGCCTCAGCCCAGGGCTTCTCTCAATCTGTGTATGGGGAGACACTCACACCACTGAATTAATGCGTGAAGGAATCTTTGCAGAGTACAAATTCCTTCTGCATTTATGTCATCGACTTGGACTGGATAAACACAATTAACTCATTGAAAAACCCACTGGCTGAAGACATAATATCTACCAGAATCTTCAATAAAAATGCAGATAAAAAATTGGATTTGGGAAATTCTGGTGTGATCAAAGATCTGAGAGATTTCAAACGAAGTTACTCCATGATGTAGTTGGTTTATCCAAATATCAGTGCATCATAATTTTATAACTATAATCTTAATCAAGGACTTTTAGTAGTTTTTGTTTACTGTCCTGATTCCTGATTGATTGATTGATTGTGACTTGTTTTGTGAGACAGCAGGAAATATATGTGATAAATAATCCATGATCTTCTTGATTTGTGCCTTGACAGAAGGCACAAATGAAAAATCTCTGTGTTGGTCTTCTCCAGGGGGCTGTGTTGGAAGTTTTAAGGAAAGATTTGTGGAGACCATCAAACACATTCTCATTCTGCCTCTCAAGGCAGCAGAAGCAATCATAGGAAAAGAGCAGCCACTGTTATCTCCAGGCTTGTGCTCTCCGGGGTGTTGGACCTCTTTTCTTTGCCAATAGGATGAGGGTGAACAGTTTGGAAGCACCACTGTTGAGGGTGGATGCCAGAGGGAGATGCCATGAATTTTACCCACCATTATTTTTCTCAGTTGCTCTTGAAACTGCTTCTGTTTACCTACATGGATAAGCACCCCTTACTGTGATTGGAGTTGTTTGGGTGAGGATTGTGTGTATGGAATGCCCCCGCTTCCCCCTCCCCCGCATCTCCTTAGTTGCACCTTTGCCCTTGTCACAACCTGGAAGGCACCACTTGTTGATGAGGGCAGAGCAGATTGGTTGAGTTAATCTCTTGCCATGTTGGTCCCTTCAAAGAAATGGGTTTATGGACATTACCTGAAAGTGACGACATAATTTACAGTTGGCCAGCCAATCACAAAAGATGTATCTGGGCTCATTTTCTTCTCTGACACTTCACTAAGACAGGATCCAGTCCATACTTCACTCAGATGAACTTTTTTCTTCAGTTTCAAGCTGGAAGAGGACCTGCATGTCAAGCGAGAGAGATCCCTCTTAAGCATATTTGCAGAATTCAGAAATCACAACTAGGGTCCCTGATCTGTCTCCTCCTGCACATAACCAAGAACTCTTCCACAGAGTCACAGACACACTCACTCACCTAAAGTGACATGCTTATTAAGCAGCTCGCACTAAAGATCCTGGGTTCAGAGTCCCGTGCCATGATTTCCTTTCTGAAATAAACCCTAATTAGCTTGATTTGCCTTAACTCATGGTTACAAATCAGAAGGCAGGGTTCATACCAAGGCTTAATGTGAGGGGTTTGCTTTGGTATTCATATGTTGTACGAACCCAATGTTTGCTAATAGTAAAGAGCATTAGCTGGTGGATCAAATGGGCATTCACACTTACTTGGATTTGGCAACAATTAGCATGTTGCTGAAGAGGAACAAATGCCTCTCTTGGGTTTGCAAGCCCAGAGAAAGCTGGACACGCTCATCCAAGATGAAGATGGAATTTGGGTTGCTAAAAGCTCCAGCTGGTAATCCATTATCTCCGTGTGAGGATGACAAAATAATTTCCCTGCTGGAAAAGAGAGCAGAAAATGAATTGGGATGATAGTAATACTTTTGCACTTTGCTTACTACTGTCACCATCCAGGAAAGCATATTTTATCCATTTTGCTTTAAGCAATCCCTGAAGTGGATTAATTTTATGCTAAAGTCCAGTTTTATCTTCAGCGAGTACTATTATTTTCAAGGAAATATTAAGATCTTTCTCTTGACTACAATTGCCCCATTGAACCAAGTAGACCTTTTTATTCTTCCTCAAAACCTGCCCTTTGCTACTCTCATATTCATTTGCCCGTCTCTCCTCTTGTTGTAGAGGAAGTTATGGGGGGGGGCCCTCTAGACTGGCAAGTGACATCGTGTGTGTCATGATATGCATAACAACCTCATGTCTTCTTCTGGATAGGCATGTTATGTTGTCCACTATTTATTTATTTACTTATTTATACTTATAATTCAGATTGCTATGGCTGTCCAACTCACAGTGACATGGGGGGGGGGCAGTGTGCAGATTAAAAACAAACACCAAAGCCTCCTTCTGGAGCACTGGCTGTAATCTTCATGATTACATATTTTCACAGGGCAAAGAGCTTCAATGTATATAACAATTTGGAGAGATATTTTTAAACTAAAATATTTATTTCTTTAAGAAATTAAACTAAAATATGATGTTCAAATGATTGGACATTTAATACAGTTGTTACTTCATTTGTCTTCAGTTTCTAGAAAAATGCTTTGCTTTCATCTGGCATTCTGCTACCAGATCATGGCAGATGAGAGGCCCGCAGCTTTCTTTTTCTCTTTCCCCCTCTCTGTCCCCCAATCCTTTCTGCAAATCACAGGTGTTTCCAGGGAATCTTGAGATTGGCCTAATTTGCCTCGTTGGGAATCAAGCTGCCTGAATCTGCTTGGTCCTTCATGGTCCCTTCTTGTCTCTCCCTTCCCCCTTGGTCAAATCTCCATCAAGTTCCAAAGCTAAGATCTGCCTCTCTTTGACCCCATGAAGCCGATGCACCTCTCCAGCAGAGGGGAGAGGAGACCAAAATACAGTGCCGGAGGGGCAATTCACCATCACCACTGCAGTTCTCTACTTCAGTATGGAAGTTTGGAGGCAAATATATTCAACATTGCAGTTCTGTTTTTGCCAGTTACACGGAATGTAAACCCTGACAAGTCTTTAGTCTTCCCCATCTCGGTTGGGGAACCTGGGGAGCTGAAGAGCGAAGGCTAGGCAGAGCTACCACCACTGTTTTCCCCTGCTTTTTTTTAATGTGTGCGTGTGTGTGCATGTCTGTGTATGGGAGGGGGACTAACTGCAAGGAGTGATAACCTTGAGGACAGGGAGGGAATGAGCTAGGGGGGCTTGAAGTCTTCTGAAAGAGGACAGTATAAAAAAGAGATTCAAAGGAACCCCACCTTGATTTTGATTAAGGTCAGATGGGGCAGAGAGAAACCAACAAGTGGTCAGGATTTGCTATAATGCTCCACAATAAGAGAGAGAATTGCTGGGATCCCTGCTGGGCTTGTTTCTTGGCTTGGCCTGCCCTGAAGGGCTGAAGGGAAGCTTAAGTATGAGGCTCCATCAGTTGCCTTTTGCTTCTTGGAGCCTTTGAAGGGCCTCCAAATAACGCCAAGGATTTGGGTCTCCTGCTTGAGAAATTAGGGGAAAGCCTGAAAGCACAATAGCTTTTTTTCATAATTGGCAATTCAGGTATTTCTTTAAATTGCCTGAAATCTGTGCAAGCTGTCTCCCCAAACCAGGGTGCTAAGTGTAGCCTTAAATGAAAAGTGCTCCTAAAAGATCGCTTGGTTCTAAATGAACATTATCTGAATTTTTAACTTGGCTTAAAGCAATATTTATTTCAGTAAAATACTGTCAGAAAAGATTATTTATGAGGGCATTTTTGGAAACAGCCACGATAAGTGTATGTTCTTTGTTTATCCATCATCTTTTTGTGGCTAGAAGGGAAATCTCTGGATGATGTGATGGTCATTCGGCATTGGAAGAGGAAATGAGTTGGGCATGTAGAGTTGAAATGCAAAAGGCAGCAGTGACTGAGTGGTCTTTGTGCCAAGCTCAAAGAAACCAGGGATCAGTACAAATCCAAGTTTAAACTAGCAAAGAAATGTCACAAATAAGTATGAACTGACAATCAGGCACATAGTGGGAGGATTTCAGCTTTTCTCTTTGCCAAATATGCTGATTTTTAATGCTTGATGATTCTACCGAGCCAGCCCTGCCTGACACTTTAACCATTCGAGCTGCATAATTAACATTAAGGTGCAATCTTGTGATAATTTTTATGCTATTGGGGTATCTTCAATTTGGATCGGTTCCCCATAATGGCTCAGTGCTGGTGTAACATCTGAAATAGGCTGCATATTCTAACAGTGAAGACTGGCTGCTGTCTCGAGAGGCTTGCAAGATTGCAGGAATGCAAAATATGCATCCCAGTTGTGGAGACAAAAATGTTTTTGCATTGCTCTCCACAGTCCTTCAAATACAACTACAGGATAAAATCAGATTGTCTTCACTTCTACAGACCTTGAAGTGTTAAAAAGTTGCCTGGATATATATTTCAAGCTGAAATTGGGCTGGAAAAAATAAAAGTTGCCTTAAGCTCTATTACTGGGAAGCAGAATGAGGCAAACCTTCCTGTCAATGGGAAAGAGTTCTCTAAGCATTGTGGAATCATAGGGTTGGAAGGGATCTTGGAGGTCTTCTAGTCCAACCCCCTACCCAAGATGGGAGCCCTTCTTATACCATCCTAGACAAATGATTTCCAATCTTTTCTTGAAAACCTCCAGTGATAGAGCACCCACAACTTCAGGAGGTAAATGGTTCCACTGATTAATTGCTCCCACCACTAGGAAATTTCTCCTTACTTCTAAGTTGGATTTCTCTTTAATGAGCTTCTACCCGTTACTTCTTGCACTGACCTCTGGTGCTCTGGAGAATCGGTCTACCCACTCTTCTCTGTGATAGCCTTTCAAATATGGGAAGATGGCTATCATGTCACCGCTAATGTTTCTTTTCATTAGGTTAGGCACACCTAGTTCCCTGGTTCATCATACAGTTTAGCTGCCAGTCCCCTAATCATGTTTGTTGCTCTTCTCTGCACTTTTTCTAGAACCTCAATGTCTTTTTTTTTTCTATCATGGTGATCAGAATTGGATGCAATATTCCAAGTGTGGCCTCACTACTGCAGTATAGAGCAATACTATAACAACTTCTTGTGATCTTAAAACGATCTTTCTGTTAATGCAGCCTAGGACTGTGTTGGCTTTTTTGATAGTTGCAGAACACTGTAGCTCCTAATAGTGGTCTACTAGGACATCTAGATCCCTTACACAGTTACTGCTGTTGAGCCAGATACCCACTCTTCTGTATCTGTGCATTTGGTTTCTCATGCCTAAGTAAAGGACTTTACTTTTCTTACCACTGAACTGCATGTTGTTGGATAGGACCCAATGCTCAAGTCTGTCAAGATCCTTTTGAACTTTGAGTCTATCTTCCAAAGTGTTAGCAAATCCCCTCAGCTTGTTGTCATCTGTTTCCACCAATTTTGAATGCACATGTCAAAATGGCTAAAGGCTTTGACGTTTCACCACATCTTACCCACTATGGAAACATCTAAAGAATTTCAGAGGAAGAAGTACACCCCAAACAGTGGGGATACACCTCTTCCTTCAGTGCTCTTCTAGTGACCTTTGTAGGACTGTACAGCAATACATTTGGAGCGGACTGTAATTTCTGTGGCTGCTTCAGATGTCAACTGTTTAGTGAGAGAGGAAGTGGAAGTGATTCATACTCCTAGGAGTCATTTGAATAGGATCAATGCACCTTCTGAGCCAGAGAGGAAATGCCTGTGACTCTTTTTTCTAAGTTGCGTAGACCTGGGGCTCTGCAAGAGGAAGGGCAGCTCATTTCTACTTCCTCTCTCTGCATGGAGTCTATGGACGGCACCTTCCCACTGGCTCTATTTCATTGAAATGGGTTCTATTTTCAACGTGACTTGGAAGATGACCTGATTTTACTAGGAATCTGAGAGGTTGGTGGAGTAAAGGTCACTGTGGCCCATTCAATGGACTTCTACAAATCCAGATGCTCACTGGCTTCTATCTACAATGCAAAGGCAGTTCAATCTGCTGGCTAAATCAATTGAATTAATTCTTCTCAGGCCTCACAATCAAGTTATTTCTTTTTTATTTCTTAATGAGAACTGGAAATATTAGAAAACCTGATCTGTACTTTGTTCAGTAGCTCCTTTATAGAATATACCTTTTTCTAAAATTGTGCCACTTTTTTTGAAGATCGAAAGTTGCAAAGTTTAATCCTCTTCTACTGGTAACAAGCTGATTTTTAAACTGATCTCATTTGGCCAAATACCTGTCTTTGTTTTAATGAAATGCCCTGATTCTCTTTGATGTAAAATGTAAGATCCACGAGAATGAAGGTGCCAAGTACCCAGAGACTGCCCTAAAATACTGGCCAGTGCTATTGATTGAAGGAGGGAGTGGGGTTAGTTTGCAATGGTCCAAAATCAGGAGTCAACTGCACTTTTTCCAACTAACAAATAGTATTATGAGGCAAATGTTTTGTGAGCTGCAACTTCATAACATTGTGGTGTTATTAAGCACATAAACTTTCCATGAGTATTAAGCGTCTTAAGAACTACTTTATTAAAAGGCAGAAACTTTTGTGGATTAATACCAGGGGACTGAAAAGGAGGAGAAGGAAGTGTGAGTGATTCCTTCATCTATCTACTGCCTGTCTCTCTATTCAGTTTTTATAACTCAGTCCAGTTGACTTTAACCTCTCTACAGATAGAGGTTTTTTCCCATCTGGGAAAATTTTCCGTGTGCTGAGAGGAAAGTTGTTTTTCTTGGCAACCTCACTGAAGTGCTTTGCTACTGCTTTTCTCTGGAGTGGGCTTTTTTTAAACTTCCTAATGCAGGATTTCCTGGTGGGGTACCATTTAAATATTAATATGACCCAAATTTGCTGATCCTTTTTTTTATATCTGTCAAGTTCAGCTACATGTTGTAGATATTATGCAGACATAAAGTTCTGGAAAGAACTTTGATTGATCATGCAGGTAAGAAGGGTACAGATGCACAGGTGAGGATCCCTCACTGGCTCAGGGCTACAGCAGGAAGACTTTTTGCCCCTCAATCATTCACCTGGTCCTCAATTTCCATTCTGTTGAAAATATAGATGTTGCAATGTTATCACCACTGGTTGGGAGGGGAAAATTTATTTATTTATTTATTTATTTATTTATTTATTTATTTATTTATTTATTTATTTATTTATTTATTTATTTATTTATTTGGGAGGGGAAAATTTATTTATTTATTTATTTATTTATTTATTTATTTATTTATTTATTTATTTATTTATTTATTTATTTATTTATTTATTTATTTATTTATTTATTTATTTATTTATTTATTTATTTATTTATTTATTTATTTATTTATTTATTTATTTATTTAGCAGATTTATATGTCTGTCCACCTCATAAAACATAGCTCTGGGCAACATTCAAACATAAATGAAAGAGAAAACAGAAAAGCAGAGAAACCCAAGATTGTACCAGGTCAACCATGACTTGACGTTCCATCTCCTCCATGGATCACAATTTGCTATTTATGAAGCCACCACTTTCTAGGCCGAGGATTGAAAGCCCAAGATTATATAGGACAATCCCAAATATTGTGAATGCTCCAACACTGGAAGTTTTTAAGAAGAGACTGGACAACTATTTGTCTGAAATGGTATAGGGTTTCCTGCCTGAGCAGGAGGTTGGACTAGAAGACCTCCAAGGTCCCTTCTAACTATATTATTATTATTATTATTATTATTATTATTATTATTATTATTATTATTATTATTATTATTATTATTATTATTATTATTATTATTATTATTATTATTATTATTATTAATCGCACAGTCAGCCAGATGTTCAGACTGGATTTGGCATTTTGTCTACCTATCGAGTCCTTACCAAGACCTGGGATAGGCAGATGTGGATGTTTGATGGTATTACAGGTCTCGTCGCAGGATGGAAGCAGTTCCTAGTAAGGCCGCCTTTTGCAATTGACTGATGGTGAATTTGTCAATGCCGATGATGGTGTTCAAGTGGTGCTTCAGTTGTTTTGGGATTGCACCCAAGGCACCTATTACTATTGGTACTACCCTTGCTTGCTTTTGCCACAGTCTTTACTACTACTACTACTACTACTACTACTACTACTACTACTATTATTATTATTATTATTATTATTATTATTATTATTATTATTATTATTATTATTATTATTATTATTATTATTATGGATCATCACACAGTCAGCCAGAAGTTCAGACTGGATTTGGCATTTTGTCTAGCTATCGAGTCCTTACCAAGGACCTGGGATAGGCAGATGTGGATGTTTGGTGTTATTACAGATATCGTTGCAGGATGGAGGCGGTTCCTAATAAGGCCGCCTTTTGCAATTGACTAATGGCGAATTTATTTATTAATAATAATTTATTAATAGTTTTTATTTATTTATTACTAATAGTTTTTATTTATTATTATTAATAGTTGTTTATTATTATTATTATTATTATTATTATTATTATTATTATTATTATTATTATTATTATTATTAAGGGAGCCCCTGACTTCTGTTACCCCAGAGTGGCAGCAGGCTTTTCTGCAGTTTTAATTAGAATTGTACAGATTGAAACAGCCTTGGCAGAGTTCAAGAACAAAACCCACCCCTCCAAACTCCTCTTTCCCCCAATTACAATCAATAAATCTTTATTATGGCCACGGACCAGCCCAACTGCAAGATTAAGGGAAGAACCCCAGCCCTACCTATGACAGACCTCCACCCTTCTGTTTCCCTTGCCACCCTCCAGATGTCATGGGACAATAAAGCCATGTTCTAGGAAAAGGTTTGCATCCATGTCTCTTACCTGGAACGATATTTTGATTTGCTAAGTGCTTTGCTGAAGGCAGCTGAAGTTGAGCGTCTTCTTTGAACGATGGGTTTCATTTTCTGTGGGAGAAAAGGACAGGGTGGGTGATATGGTACAGTTGTTCTGAGATGACATCTGCAAGCTCCTTTCGAACTCTGGGATGTAATCAGTCAGATCCCAGTGATTTATATTCATCAAGACCAGACAGGTGTTCTCTTATCATTTTCTTATTTTAATTTTTATTTCTAGTCTGTCTTTTACATTTTGGTAGGTTGAGCTATAGTTTCTTTTTGAGTGAAGACCATTGCAAGGAATGAGTTAAGCAGCTCTGCTTTCTCTCTACAGCCTGTTACTTCCTTGCCTGTTTCCTTGACTTTTATCTTGTTATTTATAAGTTGAAAGAAACTTTTTTTATTATCTTTGACTTTTGTTGCAAGATTTTGTTCATTCTGAGTCTTTGAGTTCCTGACTTCTTTGCAGATTTTGATATTCTGCCTTAGTTATGTTTTCCTCTTTCCATTTTTTCTACTTGTCCTTTTTGTCTTTGAGTTTATCAGAGAGATCTTCATGCAGCCATGCTGGTTTCTTCCTGGGTTTCTTGTTTTTCTTTTTCAGTGGTATTGTACCGGACTGGGCTTTTATAATCATATTTTTCAGAGTTACCCAAGCTTCTTGAGTTGTTTTCTTCTTTAGGATTTTCATTCAAGGAATCTTTCTTAAGTTCTCATAGAGTTTGTTAAAATCAGCTCTTTTAAAATCTAAGATTCTGATATCATTATGTTCTGTTGCTTGTGTTTGCATCATATTGAATTCCAGTATGTCATGGTCACTTTCACCCAAGGTTCCTGCAGTTTCAACTCCTTCTATCACTTTTTCTCTGTTCATGAGAATTGGGTCCAGTATGGCTGTCCCTCTAGTTCCCTTCTCCAGCTTTTGGTCAACAAAGTTGTCAGCTAGGCTGGTCAGGAATCTATTCGATTTCTCACGGTGCAGAATTAGACTTCCAGTTGATATCAGGGTAATTGAAGTCTCCCATTACTATTGTAGTGTGTTTCCTACATATGTTTGTTAATTGGTTAGCAAAAAGTACATTTATTTTTTTCTGCTTGGTTGGGTGGCCTGTAGTCTACTCCTATGGCAATGTCATTCTTTTTTCTTTTATATTGACCCATATGCATTCTAGAAGGTTTTTGTCTTTGGTTTCATGCAATGGTGTTTTACATATAATACAAGTCCATCTCCTCTTTTATGTGGTCTGGTTATTTTCAACAGTTTGTATCCTTTTATCAGTATGTTCCACTCATGGGTTACATCCTACCAAGTTTCAGGGGGAGAGGAAAGAGAGAGGGAGAGAAAGAGAGGCAGAGAGAGAGGGAGAAAGAGGGGGAAGAGAGGAAAAGAGAGAGAGGGAGATGGAGAGAAAGAGGGGGAGAGGAAAGAGAGAGGGAGAGAAAGAGAGGGAGAGAAAGAGGGGGAAGAGGAAAGAGAGAGAGGGAGAGAGAAAGAGAAAGAGAGAGGGGGAGAGGAAAGAGAGGGAGAAGAAGAGAGGGAGAGAGAGAGGGAGAAAGAGGGGGAAAGAGAGAAAAAGAGAGAGGGAGAGGGAGAGAAAGAGGGGGAGAGGAAAGAGAGAGGGAGAGGGAGAGAAAGAGAAAGGGAGAGAGAAAGAGAGAGAGAGAGAGAGGAAAGAGAAAGGGAGAGAAAGAGAGAGAGGGGGGGAGAGGGAGAGACAGAGAAAGAGAGAAAGAGGGGTGAGAAAAGAGACAGAGAGAGAAAGAGAGGGAGAGAAAGAAAGAGAGAGGAAGAGAGAGAAGAAGAGAGGGACGGAGAGAAAAAGAGAGAGGGGGAGAAGAGAGGGAGAGAGAGAAAGAGAGAGAAAAAGAGGGAGCGAGAGGAAGAGGAGAGAGGGAGAGAAAGAGAGAAAGAGAAAGAGAGAGGGGGAGAGGAAAGAGAGAGAGAGGGAGAGAGAGAGGAAAGAGAGAGAAAGAGAGAGAGAAAGAAAGAGAGAGAGGGGGAGAGGAGAGAGAGAGGGAGAGAGAAAAAGAGAGAAAGAGAGAGGGAGAGAGGAAAGAGAGAGGGAGAGGGAGAAAGAGGGAGAGAGAAAGAGGGGGAGAGAGAAAAAAAGAGAGAGGGAGAGGGAGAGAAAGAAAGAGAGAAAGGGAGAGAGAGGGAGAGAGAGAGAAAGGGGGAGAGGAAAGAGACAGAGAGAGAAAGAGAGGGAGAGAAAGAGAGGGAGAGAGGGAGGGAGAGAAAAAGAGAGAGGGGGAGAAGAGAGGGAGAGAGAGAAAGAGAGAGAGAAAGAGAGAAAGAGAGAGGGAGCGAGAGGGAGAGGAGAGAGGGAGAGAAAGAGAGAAAGAGAAAGAGAGAGGGGGGAGAGGAAAGAGAGAGAGAGGGGGAGAGAGAGAGGAAAGAGAGAAAGAGAGAGGAAAGAGAGAGGGAGAGAAAGAGAGGGAGAGGAGAAAGAGAGAGAAAGAGAGAGAGAGAACTCATGCAAAGCAGTCTCTATTTCTTTTTAATTAAACTCTTCAATCAAGCTCCCCCCCTCACGCATGCGCACATGCGCGCGCACATTTTGCAGCTCCCAGTGTTTTTTTTTCTCTGGGAATCGGGTCCAAGTGGCTCTTTGAGTGTTTAAGGTTGCAGACCCCTGCACTAGACTAAACATACCCAATTCCTGCAACCAATCTTCATATCTTTTAGCCTCCAGTCCCCTAATCATCTTTGCTGCTTTTCTCTGCATTCTTTCCAGACTCTCAACATCTTTTTTATATTATGAGGACCAAAACTGGATGTAGTATTCTAAGTGTGGTCTTACTAAGGCTTTATAAAGCAGTACTAACTCTTCACATGATCTTGATTGAATCCCTCTGTTAATGCAGCCTAGGATTGCATTGGTTTTTTGGGTTGCTGAACCACACTGCTGGCTCATATTTAAATGATTGTCCCCTAGGACTCCAAGATCCTTCTTGCAGTTACTGCTATTGAGCCAAGTTTCACCTAATCTGTACCTATACATTTGGATTTTCTTGCCTAAGTGTAAAACCTTACTTTTCTCTACATTGAATTTTATTTTGTTAGATAGGGCCCAGTGTTCAAGTCTGTCTAGATCCATCTGGATGTTGGCTATTTCTGACAACTTAGTATCGTCTGTAAATTTGATGAGTTCTCCTTCTTTCTCCTCATCTAAATTATTGATGAAGAAATTGAAGAGTCCTGGGCCCAAAACATCCATGTAGATGTGATTTCATTAAGCACTACATGTTGAATGTGGTTGGCCAGAGACAGAGAAAGGAGGCTCACTTTGGGAAAACGGGGCAGGGAGATGGGAACCCAATTGCCATGAAGGGCTGGGCCAGAATGGTGCCAAAGAGAACTACAACTTGAATTTAGGCTGTGGCAGTCAGAACCTGTGATCATTTTCTTTGATGCTAGCAAGACCTTGGCTGTGAGGAAGATCTGATGGAATGAAGAGAATCTTTGGCTCCCGGACAAGTGATTCCATGTGACCCTCTGGGTGAGCAGCTGCACGTAGGAGCTGCCTGGCTCATGGCTCTCCACCATTAATTAAGGCCCCTTCATTCAGCTCAGTGTCAAAATATCCATTTCCATCTGCAAGTCCCATCTCGCTTCAGCACCAGTTTCAGTGGGGTCATAAGCAGAAAGGCAAAGAGCAGAATAGCTGTGCCAACAGTTTGCAGGCCTGGACAGGGGTGTGGGAGGAAGGCCTGCTGTGAAGTGTGGATGGCAACTGACTACACTTTCTTTTCTTCCTTACTTGACATTTCCATATGGAGAATCATTTTGAGTTGACATCTGTGATGCTTCCCCCTAATTTACAAGTTCTCAGCTTTCCGTAATTGCTTTCTGGGAAACTGATTCCTCAACTACCACATTCAGTGATTTAATTAGTAGACCACAATGAAAACTGCAGTGTTTACATTCCCAGACAGAAGAGTACACATTTTGTCAGGTTACATCCTTTATTTCTGCATTGAGGGCACTTTATAAAACCCTCTCATTTTCTCTATTTTCAAATTGTGCGATGGTAATAAAACCCTTCCAGCAAGCTGAAAAAAAACCCCAATTTTTCTATCCAGTTGTGCAACTTAGTTCATTTTATCTGCCTTGACATGCAAACTGAATGCCAAGGGCAATTTCATTCTCTGTCCCAAATATTCCTGTTTCCGAACAGAAAAGCCCTGATGGCTTGCACAGCCTTCTCACTTCAAGGCTGTAGGCAGTTCTGTGTGGTGAAATTGCAAAGAACTGGCAGTCGGTCCTAAAGCCCCTTTTATGGCCAAACCTTTCCAGCCAATGAGCACTCAGCTACTGCCTCACCCTACTCCCCAATTTCACATAAAAAAGCCAGAATCCTTCTCCCCTCCCTGAAAACCCAGGAACAGACTTTTAAATGTAACTGATTCATTTGTCTGCCGTGATGCCACAAATCCTGGCATGACACTCAAGCATTTAATCTCTTTCTTCATCTCTACACACCTCCATTACATGGGTGGGGGGGGGAGGAGTTGAGGAGAAGGGCAGGATACTGAGGGATCCTTTCCAGGGGCCAAGCAGATCCCTCCAGGCAACCCCTGGAGTGCCATTCCACGTGGCAAATAGACGTGCCCACCTGGCTAATATGCCTTAGCAAGAATTCCTCTTGCAATTGTAGCCATAGGAAGATGGACAGCCGTGCGCAGAGCAGGGCATGGTGATTGCATCAGCTGAGCAGCATGGGACTCCGTCTCCATATAAACTGTGCTCCAAAATGCCATGTGGACCTCAACATAAGAAGAATTCGATAGGAAAGAAAAGGCAGATAAAGAGAAAGATAAACTTATTGAGAGTTGTTAGAACAGGAACATGGAGAATGAAAGATAAAAGCAAGAGAGCAATTAGCTGCAGAGGAATTTAGAACATAGAATTTAGTTTTCAATGGTTTTCATATGCACAGTTAAGAGAAAGATTCAAGACAGAAAATAGGATACTTGGAATTAAGCAACAGACGACAGAATTTCATATTCAACTATATACAAATGATGAACACATAATTGGTAAACTGTACCCTGTTATTGAAATT